TGTTGTATTTTAATCTTTTTAAATTGTTTTTTAATCAACTTGTTTTTATTATTGGTTGTTAGCCGCCCTGAGCCCAGTCTTGGCTGGGGAGGGTGGGGTATAAATAAAAATTTAGTATTATTATTATTATTTGAATAATGTCATTGAAATCTGAGACATTAGTCACATTGTCATTAACATATTATAAATGTAACAAAATTATATGGGAGCAGCATGTGTCTATGGATATTACAGTAACCAGAGTAGAATTCCTGCTTCTTTGGGTAGGAGAAGGCATTTTGGCTTGGGTGGTCGCATATACATCCTTTAAAAAGAAAAAATGCATCACCAAAGAAGTGTACATATATATATATATATATAGGCACAAATTTTGAACTAATAATATAATAGAAATACAACCATAGATGTAAAGTCCTGCATTCCTGCTCATTGTGCTGTCTGGATCCAAATTGTTGATGAGCAGCAACAACCCTGCTCACTATTCCTAGATTCTCTATCTTTAAACTTAACTTGGAATCCTAGAGTTTGAAGGGCTAGACAGTCATTCACATAGAAGACAGAGGTGTGTCCTCTCAATTTTGTTTTATTTTTAAGGAGTAGGAAACATGGCTCTCACATTTAAAAAAATAAACTAAAAACCCAGTTCTGTCATTTTATTAAAAAGTATCCGGTTTCAAAAAATTAAAAAAGAAAAGAAAATATTACTGCTCCCCACATCCCTAAATTTGTAATCTGCTTGGACAAATAGTTTTCAATCTTGTCCAATTAGGCCTGCATTACCTTCATCCTGGGATGCGGGTGGCGCTGTGGGTTAAACCACAGAGCCTAGGACTTGCCAATCAGAAGGTTCGCAGTTTGAATCCTCGCGATGGGGTGAGCTCCCGTTGCTCGGTCCCTGCTCCTGCCAACCTAGCAGTTTGAAAGCACGTCAAAGTGCAAGTAGATAAACAGGTACCACTCTGGCGGGAAGGTAAACGGCATTTCCGTGCGCTGCTCTGGTTCACCAGAAGCGGCTTAGTCATGCTGGCCACATGACCTGGAAGCTGTACGCCTGCTCCCTCGGCCAGTAAAGCAAGATGAGCACAGCAACCCCAGAGTCGGTCACAACTGGACCTAGTGGTCAGGGGTCCCTTTACCTTTACCTTTACCTTCATCCTGCACGATGATACCTTCCATTTTCAAAACAAAACAAAACAAAACAAAACAAAACAAAACAAAACAAAACACCCACCTTCATCTTTCATTTCTTCTGCAGTGGAGCAGCTTCTTCCTTCTGTTCCTGCACTGACAGCTGAAAACAATTAATTTCACTGTTTTCATTGCTTTTTAGTATTTCCCTTACCCACCTTCTCTGTCTTAAGTGTGTTTTTTTCTTTTCAACTTCTGCGTCCTCCATCTTTGCTATCTAAAAGCTTTCTTTTGGTGAACTTGTAACAGCTTAACCCTTGTGCAGTTCTTCAGTGACAATTGGTTTTATTTTTCAGAAAACAATCCTTTTAGACATTGTTTATGGAATATTACAGCTTCAGTGAAACACTGCTCTACCTTCTGAACTGCATCTTCTTTGGTCTCTCTTTCTATCAAAGCCTAATTCTTTTCTTTCATCACTATGTAGCCTTTTACTTTGCTGAAGTGCTATGCTGGTTTCTTAACATAATTGTTAGGCAAATTACTCAGGTGGACCAAGTGCCCTAGGTTATTGTCTGATGATTCTTTTCCCTTCATGTTTGCTTGCATTTCTAGGAGCAGGATTTGTAGAATTTTTGTAATCTGAAAAGATGTTTGGATGGGGTGGAGATGTCCCATTGCCAGAGTGAAGGGCTCTGCTTGCACCTGCTGAAACTGCAAGCAGGCAGAAGCTACTCCTGACAGTATACTCACTGGCAGTATGTAAGACACTTGAAACATGGCATGTATGGAGCAGGGAGGGGCATAGAGATGAGCCAGCCAAGCATCCATCGGATCCTAAACTAGCCTGGAGCTAGCACAAACAGTATCAGCACAAATACTGCCCACCCACCTTTCTCTCTGGCTGGCAATAGCAGCAGTAGCTTTGCTGTTCCATTCAGCCTTGCTGCTCCCAGATAGGAGTTTGGATTCCACCATCATTGTTGGTTGTATTCATCATTAGAGTTAGCAGGCATATTCCAGATAGTGCACTAGTGAGGATAAACTTTTGGTAAATGGAAAGAGTCTAAATCACCAGAATTTCACACCAAGAGAGAATTCTTAGGGATCTATTCATTTTAATTTGCTGGAGTGTCTGGATCATACTTTGGAGCACTGAGAGTGTAATCAAAACTCCCAGCTAGGAGCAGTGAGGCTGAATGGATTTTGTGAAATACCCATTTAGTTGAGATTAGACAGGCCCATTTCCTGTTGAATTTCAGGTACCTGACAAGGACCTTACTACTTCAGCAGGCATTTAATAAAGTTTTGTGAATTATTGTGATTCATTTTACAATCTTATGTATGCTTCTTAGATACTACAGTAATTAAGTGTTGTATAAATACATTAAATAAATATGTGGGGAGGCAAACATCTCCTCAGGGTATGACTGAAGTTCACTGATGGTCAGAATTGTCGCCTGCCCATCTCCCTGGTACTCTGAATACACAGGCAGTAGGTGTCTGCTTCCACAGTGAATTATAATTTGTATATTCTGGAGATAGGCTCCACCACAAGACAGACTATCATATCCCTTTTTTAAATTTAGTTAACTTAGCTGTATTTTATTAAGCATGAAGTGCTCTGGTTAATCCTTTTAGGAAATGCTGGTCTAGCAGAGGGGGAGGCATGACAAAATGGGAAAGTGCCACCCTGTGCCTGCCCCTGACACCCCCATCAAAGCCCTGCTTACCAGGGGTGTGGGGCAGTGGCTCCTAGGTTCCAATGAGAACTCCTAGAGCCCTGCAAGAGCTTGCAAGAGCTCACAGGGCTCTGGCCAGGTCTCACCAGAACCTTGAAGTTGCCGCCACCACTACTCACTTCTATGGCAGGACCACCCTGTTGCCTTATTAATGATTGGCTAGAAACACCAAGGAAGTCACTGTCAGTATATCAGTCACATATAGATCCAAGCTTGGTAATTCCTATTTGAAGTTGACTCTTGGCATCCTTTGGTATTGTGTATATTTTGTATCAGAGATGTCTAAGAAGAAAATTCACACTAAAAAGCTAGGCATTTCAAACAGATACTGCCAAGAAAAGGGTTCAATAAAGCCCATAGGTTATTCTTCAGCACAGAGTCTTTGAGGAGCTTGGGGGCACTGAATCAGAGATTCACCTCTTCTTTTGCTCTCAGAATGGGTAATAACGAAGCTGAACTATTCCGAAACAAGCCAAGCTGAAAGGTCAGTCCCTAACTATTTCCCTCCGTCTGCTCCAATTTGGAAGCACGGCAGACTAGGCTCCATACATGCAGGGTTTGCTTCAGTGGAATCCTTTCCTGTACTGCTTCATTCCACTGACTTTTCACTTGGAACACTGTGGATAATTGGTGAATCATTCTGTAGAAGAAAATTCCTTCCCCACTTTCAGATCTCAGTATCACAAAGTGCTTTTGAAATTTCCAAACTCAGTGGGGAACTAGGCTGTTTTTCAGGGAAAATAAGATAACTGCCCCACTGTCTGTATTTAAGCCTTTAGCTGCACCTAAAGGGCTCACTGGATCATAGCCATGGACAAAAGAACCACTGAGTGAATGTAATTTATGGAATGCAACTGGTCTTTTACTAGTACTGGGAGGTTGTGCTTGGAAATTCATCTGGAACGAGGCCTCAGCACAGGGTTTTTCAAAACCAGATTTCCCAACTGCACAAATTCCCCATCAGATACTCAACCCTAAAAAATCCAAAATGAACACAAAGCATTCTTTGCTCCTTGTTTACATCCTGTATGAGTGGTGGCTTCTCCACAGGAGTCGTTATTATCTACTGTGCAATAATTAGCAGGACAATCCAATGGCCCTTGCATTGAGGTAAACTCCAACTCAGTGGCACACTGTTGCAAGGGCTACTGGGTCATCCTGAAAGTTATCTGTCTAGTCCTGCTGCCTCATCAACTTTGTGCTGCCAACATTGGTGTCTCTCAAATACCTGACTTCTCCAGTTTTCACCAAGGATGCCTGTTAAGTACAGCTCAGCTGCTGGCTTAAACTGGTCCATTTTATGCCACAGTCAATAGGACCTGCTCTGCAGACTTTCAATGCTGATTACTGTTAACTCACAGAAGAAACAGGACAACTCCTGACACCATATGGTATTATTATTTGGGTGTTTTCTTGTCCAGCCCTTCAGCAGAACCTAGCCCTGCTTCTACTAAGTTCTTATAGTGAAGATTCACTGTTCATTCTATCTCAGTTTAGAAAAATATTGTAGGATCAGTAAGAACTCTTTCTTAAGAGCCTGCAGGTTCCTTCTCCTACATTTCCAACCATCTATATTTCCCAACTGTGCACAAAAAGATCCCTGTCTCAGCAACAGAAAAGCTAAAGAACAGGGAGAGAAGATAGCTAAAGATAAGTGATCTAGAAAAGAGAGGATGAGCAGGACTGATAGATGTGGTAACAGTGGGCTAGATGGTCTATAAGCCTGGTTCATTTGTGCTCAGCAAGCACCGGAATACAACTTTTAGAGGAAAGGCCATGGCTTAGCGGTAGAATGCATTCTTTGGGTCCAAAAGGCCCTAGATTCAGTCTGTGGGATCTCCCAAGTAGATCAGGAAAAGATTTTTGTTTGAAACTCTGGAAAGCTACTGGTATATGGTATACACAAATATTGAGGCAGATGGACCAATTTTCAGACTCAATAGAAGGCAGCTTCATGTGCTCTTATATGTTTAATGAAAAATGCATCCAAATACACTTTTCCATCCACATTGTGTTGTGATTAGTCAGCTATATGCAACCGGATCAGGGAAGGGAGTTGGCCTGATTGACCATTTTTACACCCTTGTCATCGCAAAAAACATTTCAGAAAGGGATGCAAAAAATAACCAAAAGATGGGACACAGTGTTTGCGCTCTCTCTCTCTCTCTCTCTCTCTGTGTGTGTGTGTGTGTGTGTGAGAGAGAGAGAGAGAGAGAGAGAGAGAGAGAGAGAGAGAGAGAGAGAGAATTGGTTTTATATCATGTTTTTATTCGCTTAGGATTAGAATGAGAAATAGGATCATGCTAGTTAAAGTTGCTGGTTAGGAGGGTGATCACCCATTTGCAGAACAAGGAAACATCAAATCAATCCAGATAATAACAAGGAATATTTGTGGTCTAAAATGGATAGTCTTATGGACTAAGTAATAGAAATGAAATGAGATTTAATAATACAAATTAGAAGAATATTAAAACAAAGTCTTTGGGGGCCCTTGGGAGCTAATAATGAGCATTTTTGTTATCTGCTGGGAACTAGAAGCTGGGAGCAACAGGAAAAGAGGAGACCCAGGGTCTTGGTTAATCACAAAAGGATTATAAGCTATAACATTAAAAAAGCAACAAATACATTTCTATGATGTGTTAAGCATAACAATTTCAGTAGAAATTGGAAAATATTAATACCTCTGTTTAACGCACTGTTTTTACAAACAGTATCAAGCCATTCAGGAGTGGGGGAAATGTTCCGCAATCTTTTGCATTCCTTTAGCACCTAAATTCTGGACATGTCTGGTTAATTGGAAAATCTTGATTACTGACTTCATGTGATAGGCAGTGAATTGTTTATAGCAAACCAGCTGCTACAAAACCTGTATTGGGACCGAATTTGTGGCATTGGTGGTATGACAATGACTCTTGATTGTGATGGGCCAATTTTCTTACCAGTCAGGTAGGATTTTGATACTAAACTACTTATTTGACTTGTTGTTTGCCCCAAATGAGAAATATCAATTAATGAATTTACTAATGTAAAATCTAATCATGTTGTTCCTACATGATATGGCTCCCTAAAACTTAAGATAATATGTAATTTTCACTTGTCACAGATGCAGCGAAATCTAAGTATTTCTGCATAGGCATGTCCCTTATGTATGCCTCCACAGATCTGTTCGCTAGGAAGAGGGTCCCTCCTCAGTGCCACAAGAACTCTTCTTCCCATTTCCCTATTCGGGGGAGAGGTAGAAAGGTTTCTTATGTTATACAGCTGAACTCTAGAGCAAGCAGAAGTGATTTTGCTACCTCAGGAACCCAGAGTATTAAAAAGAAATTCACCTCACTACTCCATGCCCCTGAGCTTTGAAGCAGATAGAAGTAGTGTGAGAGACCTGCCACTTCTAAAGCTCAGCATAACATGAGAGAGGCTTGTGCTTCTTTCCACCAAATTATCTTCCATGCACAAAGGATGTGGTGGATTCAATGGTGACCACCATTTATTGCTTACCTGGTAACCCAAAGCAAAATTTGTGGATCCCTAATAAAACAACTTTTTGGAACAATTCCCCAATCCCCGCCCCCCATAAAATGGTAATCTGACACTGAAAGCCTTGAGCTATCCTTTGTCAACAAATGCTGTATTGCAGTGTTATTTAATCACATTGGTTCTCAATTTCTATGCATAGCAACCCCAACTTGCAAATCTTTATTTACCCCACATAATTGTTTCTACTCTTTTCCAACACCCAGCTTACTAAATTAAAATTTACCTTGTGGTCATATAAGCAATAAGAAAAATTGAATGTGAGCTGACTGCTAAATAACAGCACCCTACCAGCAAGAGTTATACATCATGCAGGAGAGGACCTTCTCCATGGGGTTGCCCTATATGTGGAAAACCATCCCGTCAGATGTCTGGCTGGCACTGATCCTGTTTATATTCCAGCACCAGCTTAATATACAGCTGGTTTGGTCAACCGTTCATGGATTATTAATTGTTCAGATTAGAAGTGCAGCCATTCCTTAGTTGTTATGCTGTTCATTGATTTTTACTTGCTTTCTTGCTAGTATTAATTGAAATGATTGCTTGCTTTTATTGCAATTTTATTGTACCCCGCCTTGGAATCATAACTATGACGACAGGTCATAAATACTCTAAAGAAACTATATATGTGGTTGCAGTTTCAATTTCTCCTGGGCAGTTTGTGGATTCATTATAAAATTTAATATAGAGATGTAATGTCAAGGATGTGGTCTGTTATTTAAAATAAATATGTGAAGTTCCTTTCTCATCTCCACAACTCTCTGCAAAGTGCACCTCTCCACTTTGCCTATTCCTTCTCCCAATTTTCTTTCCCTTCTTAAATTTCTCTCTCTGCCCTTTCCTTTTTTCATCATTTTACTCTGCTACTCTTTCTTCCACTACTACCCCATGACAGCCTCCTGATTCCTTCTCAGAGCCCTTTTTAGGACCCTACTTCTTTCCCCCTTCTCTAGGTCTTTGTATCTGCCCTATTTCTGTGTAGAATCAGAGCAGTGCAGCCAATGGTATCTACATATTTCTGTCTGCCCTGACCCTTAGTGACATTAGGGAAGCTTCTTGCTATTTAGTGCAATACAGATGTTCACGAGATGGAAAAAATATTGCCCACTCTAGAGTACTGACACAAAATGGAGTTTATAATCAAAATCATGATGCAGTCTTAAAAAGAAACTTTATATTCTATATATTCTATCTCCAGTGTTACTATTTATTTTACTATTTCATCTTCAACCAACAAGCTTTAAAACAACAAAAGCAACCACCACATTTTACTTGCATGACAAGGAGTTCGGAGACACACACATGCTAATTGGCTTGATCCTCATTATTTGAAATTAAAATGTCATACTTTCCTTGGGAGAAGGTGATGTTGCCCTGGTACTTGATAGCCAAATTAAAATAATTGGGTCGTTTTAATTTTGCCTGTCTATATTTTATAACTCTGATTGGATAATAAATATCTTAATACTTCTGTATTATTTGGAAATAACAGTGGGTATAGAGATTATAACTTCAAAGTGATTATGACTGGAATTTTTTTCTAGCTTTTGGGGTTTCTTTATTACTGGTTTTGCTTTAATTAGTTTAATAATAGTGAATCACATCTTTACTTTAAAGTGGACTCTGACTTCATTATTATTTTACATCTTTCATATAGAATATTGATGACCAATATCAGGTAATATTTTGAAATATTTGAGAATTATTGTGGTCATATTTAGTTTCTCTTCAGGATACAGATCTAAAACAGGACCTTCCCAATAGGCTTAACTGTGTGTATAATATATAAATATAGAATAGGAAACTATGAAAGGAGATGGATATTTGAAAATGGACCTTGAAGATGATACTGTGACATGATCATAGCAACTAAGAGGTGGGGGGATGAGTGTAGTGGAGACATTCTGAATTGGCAAGAGCCAAGACCAACATGCAGAATGTTATAGCAGCTGAGATGAGGTGCTGTTGTTGTGTGAGCAAGAGGAGAGTCAGGATAAATATCATGGGTTTACAATTGTCTGTGTTGCAGTCCTTTAATCCAGTTATGCAGGCATGTCCAGATGGCAGCTGCCTGCTGCATTGGTGGAAGAAAGAGTCTAGAGAAAGGCAGGTCCTCATACTCTCCTGTGCTCCAAGCAGGATTCAGCTGTATAGGCTACTCACCCTTCCATAAGACCCCTCTTGGGACTGGTTTGAGACGCAGGTTGAATGCTATGTATGCACCTGGTATGCAGTAAAGGAAAAGGGCTGTAGCTAAGTATGGAGCATGGAGAGGCCCCCAGGTTCCTGGCATCTCCACACAGGACTAATAAATATCTATTTCTCAAACACTGGAGAATGCTAGTCAGGTTCTTATACTTACTATGTTCCTGTAGTGATGTAGATTTGATGAATATTCATAAAGCTGGGTTTCATTCAGGTAGTGCAGGAAATAGCTGTGCTGAAACAGTACATTTGATAGACCTTTTCAAACAAAACAAGGACACATCTAAACAGATTAAAAAATGCATCTGGAAATGGTGTGTTTTGGTTTCTAGGACTGTGGGCCGGAGCACTGTGCATTTTTAAAACTGCAAAGCCCTTTAAAGCTGTTGTATGCTTCTATTTTTACTGGACTTTTTAGATACTGTACTGCAGTATTGTAATGCAGTTTTGTACTTTTGCTTGTGAGCAAAGCAGATGGGTGTTTATGGTGCAGAGTATAGAATTTAGAAATAACTGTGGAAAGGGGGGGAAAGTGAAGTTCCATGTGTGAACGCAGTAACTCTTCAACAAACCGTGCACGATGCGTAAAAACAAACAAACAAAAAACCTTGTCTTCATTTACATGGAACAAATTCAGTGGAGGTAGCTTGAATTTCTTCAAAGGAGAGACTTGTGCAAGCTGCTTGCCCCAGAAAAATGGCTAGTGTGAGGTCTCTGGATCATTACCTCCCTGCATTCTGGCCCAAATATTCCGTCATCTTCTGGATAGATGTGTGTGTGTGTCATTAATGCTAATGAGAATTAAGCACACATGGAAAAGGCAAGTGGATCCCATCCTTTCTCTCGCGCATTCTGCATTCCTTTACAATGCAAAACCTGGAAGTCCTTGATCGCTGCTGGATGTGTGAAAATGCTGCAGGACCATAGATGCTCGCAACATGTTTGTATTAATCACATCTCGTTATGGCTGTCTCCATCTCGACTGGAAAGCTGCACCCGAGAGGCATCGTTTTAAGAACTGACAGTCGTGTGGCATGTTCCTTCCTATCCCCGGTTTCAGGGACTTCTACAAGGCACGCAAATGTGGAGAGTAGCACGGGCTGCTACAATTTCAGTCTTGTCAGGATAAAGATTCTTTCCCGACAGTCCAGGAATTGAAGCGCTCGGAAGGAAGTAAATCTTTCCATCTAGATGTATAACGCACACTCGGGGATTTTTTAATTTTTATTTTTTAAGCGCCTGTCATGATCAGCCACATTTTATGCTCTCTCTTTTTTCTGAACTGCCATAAATAAGATATAATAACTCCTTTCCAAATCTTTAAGGCTTAATGTGCTGTCTTTCGAAAAGCTGCTGTTTTGATGCTGCTCGTCAGCTTGGCAGCCTAGGCTGGCTTGTGTGTGTGTGTGTGTGCGCGCAATACGATCAAGGGGGGGGGAGGCACTCTGGCGTGGTACGTGCCGGGAACAGCGACAGAGCGCGAGACATTTGTGGCCATCAGAAGTGATTTAAGAATCGCCC